GTCCTTTTAATAATATTTTTGTTGTGCTTTAAATACCTGCCTTGCTTTCTTTTTTATTATGATTTTTTTGGACCAATCTCAAAAAACTACTACACACAAAAGAAGAAAGTGTGCACTGTAATTCTTAACCAAATTTTGGTTATTTGCTTTTGATGTTAAATATATATTCGTTTCAATAATTTCAAATGGGGCTCTTTGCGGAATTTATTTTTAGCAAAAATTTTAGAAACAGTAGTTTTGTTTACTTCTTGTATAATTTTTTTTTCACAGGGATATGCAGTGGATCCTTGGCTAAAAACTTCTGTGGTAAAACTGTCCCTTCTTTGCTATTTAAAGTCAATGAGTAAGCTCCTTCAATAGGGATTTCCAGTAGAAATGATCAACGTCTAGCTATAAAGAGAATTGATGCTCAAATAATTAAAAAGCTATAGGTCTGACCTTTAATTAGATAATAATTACGTAACTATCTGTTATTCAAATGCTTATAAAAAAACGGGGTGCTTAAAAAAAAAAATAACAATATTCTGATCCGATTCGGCTGGCAGCCACGACTTTGAAAACAGAATTTTGTTCAAAAATAATAATCTATTTTCCACATCCACCTATTTAGCTCGCTATAAGTACAAATTTTTCAAAGCAGTCGCAGAAGAAAGCAATAAAAATGAATTACAAAAACTAAAATCGAAAAGTGCAGATAAAGTAACAGGTTCTCCAAATTCTTAAACAACATGACATATTTATGTATCTGGTTTGGCTTGTAAGCGCTGTTTAAACAACGATCTCACTATTATCAGAGCTGTTAAGTAATGATTATAAATTGTAATGATTAGCGATTTAATTATTTGTTTAAAATTTGAGAAATGATTAATTACCATTATTTCTACTTTTAAATTAATAATTACCGATTACCATTAAATTCAAAAATAATCAAAAAAGCTAATGGGATTAGTTTTACAATAAAATTATTATTTTTGATTATTTATAATTATGTAAATTATTTTAAATAAAATGTATTGCTCAGATGGAAAAACTGTAGCGTAAAACTGTGAAATACGGTTTTACGTTGTTCTTTCAAATGACCATATACATTAGGGATGTTGCGAATATTTCCATTTTTGGAGGTATTCATTAGGTAATGTTAATCCCGGGATCGCGGTCTCTTTAATTTTCAGGATTTGTAAATTACACTGGTGGCAATAATAGAAACGCTTTATGTTGAACAGTTTTGCCTATATATCTTTTGGTTATTTAATATTTATCATTTTTGCACACAAAAAAATCAATATATAAGAAATCAAAAATAGTCAAAAGTAATCACCAAATTTAATCAACTACTTTTTTTGATTATTTTTGATTATTATTGATTATTTTTTTAATGACAAATAATCATGGTTGTTTTTGATTAATTCTAATAAAAATTGATTACTAATTCCTCGGTTAAAAACACTAATTGAATTTTCCATTACGATTACCGAAGAACCTATGTAATCGTTTTGATTAGTAATCGTAATCCAAAGTTAACAGGTTTGGGCTATTATGCTAGATTCTAATTGTTTTTTTTTTTTTTAAATACTTGACATCCGCATTCGCATTCGCATCCGCGGATGTTAGCTGTTAGATATTCGCATCCGCATTCGCATCCGCGGATGTCTAAAATTCCACATCCGCAACATCCCGAGTATGTATATACATATCTGCATGTGTGCGTACAATCCTTTACTCGAAATTCTTATTTAATGCAATTTTTATCCCATACAGTTTTGCTGACCAAACAACCCGTTTGCCTGTCTAATCTACTTGCCTCATTTGCCTCGCTCGTTTACTCGCCTCGCTCTCTGCTGCTGCAAATGAGTGCCTCGCTCGCAACGACGCCCTCGCGAGGCCAGAGCTAATGAGGTCCTCGTTTGCTTGCCGCTCTACTCTTGCGCTGCCCTCGTTTGCTTACTCGTATGTTGGCTGCTCAGCGCGTGCGCTCGTACTTAACGAGCGCTCGTTTGCAAACAGCCTCGCCTGTTGCTCGTGAGTTGCGCAAGCTCAGAGCAAACTAGCAGTTAAAATGAGGCAAATCCGAACCCTGGGTATAACCCTTGTGATATAGAATGTAAGTAGGCAATAATTGTGCCAGTAGATGTAGCAGTGTTCTGTGATATAGTTACTAGAAAGCGAAATTACCACATAACCCCGATATACAACACATGAAGGGAAATTAAGAAGCCCGGCATTAGTTCATGGGTCGTGGCCACACGTCAAGCGAAAGTATAGACAGGAAAGGCTGGCTTGTAGTTCCTTTACGCCCACGCTCCATGGTACGGGCACCATCGTCCGTTGGCTTTATTTCCTAAAAAAATAGAAACAAACCCGCGGGCTTTATTGCTTTTCGAAAAAGAAATTAAACCCGCGGGCTTCATTGCCTTTTGCCCATTGGCATTATTTCCCTTTCGATATGGCAATATCGCCCCCGGACTTCATTTCCTAAAAAATTAAATAAAATACCGCGGGCTTCATTTCCTGACAAACGAAATAAAGCCCGCAGCCGTTATTTCATCTTTATTGTGGCTCTTGTCTCCTTTTAAGAATATGTACATCCGAACCCCTGTCCTAAATACAAACTAATATGGTAACATTGAACTAAATATTTGTTATCCTTTATTATACGAAGAAATTGAAATTAACAAATTTCAATGCATATATTTAATACATATGGGCAAGGCCATATACATATTTTGGTCAATATCTTTACAAAATACAATTATTTCTCCCAACTTGAGAGCGGCATATGAAAGTTCTCGTCATAACTGTTGTTTCATACGCAGACAATTTAGCTATATCTCGTTTTTGAGGTTGCTGAACGTTTGTGTAAAAATGAGCGAATTGTTTATTATTGCCCAGTATTTTAAAAAAGGAAGGATGAAAGATGATTTTTATCCAAAAGGTGGGCTTAATATTTTATGTTTTAATCACGTAAATGACATAAAAGCAGTGTCAGTAACGTGACGCAAAATGTCAGTAACGTCACACTTACGAATTTCGTTAGGATTTTCGGTTTTTTTTTTTCTTGGGTTAATAGAGGGACCCTAAACGGCCAAAAAATCATAGTAGAGGAGTTTTAAGATGCAACCCTGGGGAGATATTAAGATGAAACCACTTTTCGCACTAATCTCATAAAAAAATTTTAGTAAATCGGGCTTGCCCTTTAGAGCTGATTTTTGTATGATAGATGTTAGTTAATTAAATTATCTCTTCAACAGGGACCGCAAATAAGGATTATCCTTCGAAATTTCAACTCAAAAAATAACGCGGAAAGAGAAATGCTACGTGCATAAGGAGTAAACCAATATATTTCTTATTACTCGGAGTACCTTCAGCGACACTGATTTTTATTTTTTAATTTTTACTTATAAAAATCAAGTTTAATCATTGTATTTTGAGTTTTATTTTTTACTCAGAAAATAATCGTTATTTCTTGAATTTTATTTTTTGCTCAGAAAATAAATCTTAATTTTTGCATATGCGCATGCGCATGCGTGAATAGACAGGGGGCGGCTGCATTGATTTTTTAACGCCAATGTGGAGTGGGTAATGAAAATACAGATACCAGGGCATACGCATACGCAAAAATTAAGTTTTATTTTCTGAGCAAAAAATAAAACTTAAAACGTAACCATTATTTTCCGAGCAAAAAATAAAACATAAAACGTAATGAATATTTTCCGAGCAAAAAAATAAAACTCAGTTAATAACGATTAAAAAGTGATTTTTATAATAAAACTTATAACCGTTACGGTCCCTGCTCTTCAATGATGTGTATAGCTTGAGGGTTGAAATTGGTTTTTGACCAGTTTTGCATCATTAAAATGAAAATCTGTAATTTTTCCCTACTTTTCAGTTTTAGCTGCTATTTAGTACGAAAAATGTCGAATTGACTTCTGTTTTTTCGAAATATTTGTGAAATTTTTTCTTAAATGGTGATAAAAACTTTGTGTCAGTATTTTGAACTAAAGCCAGGGCACTCTGTAAAATAAAAACACATTATTATCGGAAAATAAAAAAGTCTTTATTAATTTCAGTCTTGTTAATTGTTGCAAAATTGAAGCATCACTTCAGTTCTAGTTTTTTTTTAAACATAAACATAAAATATCACCAAAAAAAAGAAATTTTAATTGTATCCTTGCTGAGAAGTAGTATAAGTTACTATTTTGTCCCCAATGGTACGGATTTGGTGCGAAGACGAAATGTTACGAATGTTTTTTGCGTTTGCGAAAATTGTGGCCGTATCCAAAATAGTGTTAATTTTGTTAAACTCTTCTTCAGCAACTTCCGCAACTAATATTTGCGATTGTGTATGTTGGAACGCCTCAACGAATTCCCGTGCACTGTTTACTATGCAGTGACGAGTTTTTTTTGATTGCGTAGAACACACTTTACTGTGGCTCCGATTCCGTCTACGCACCCTTTTCCGTGCGACGTTGCGAAATAGTTCCATATGATTTGCATTCAAAATTTTTTTTCGAATTGAGGAATGATAGTGGCGATGAATTTGTTTTTAAACTGTGATGAGGGACCGTCGGTCCACAGTTTTAAAATTTTCACTGAGCTCGGCATGCCTGACAGTAGCTTGTAAATGTATGGGACAATGACATCTTTAGTGTGAGACAAATTGTCGGATACAAATACTTTGGACTGAAAGATGTCGTTGTGATAAAATGCTGAGGTGACCAAATCCAGTTGGCGCTAGTTCCAATGGGCACTTTGAACTTCGTCTTGTGCTTCACATACGAAGTTTTCGGCGAAATCCATCTGCAGCAAAGCCTCAACGGCGTAGTCAGCATTGCTTGCGCGAGGAATGTCATGTATATTGAATGTAAGCGATTGTTCACGTTTTATATAGCTGTGCTTAAGGAACTGCGGTGATAAAGCAGCTATATGTGCGATCAGACTTTCTAAAGTTCCTTTCTTTTTATGCTTTTCAATTCGCTTTGATTGTGCATTTTTTTCCCATACAATCCATGACACAGGCGACTGAGGCGAAACACTGCCGACTGCGCTTTTCAACGACTCTGCAGATATTCCAGAGCATTTGTTGCATTTTGCAAACCAGCAATCCATGGATGCCTCCTGGCACAAAAACTGGCGAACAAAACCGTCATCATACCTGGGAACATTAGCAGCAACTTTTTGCAGCGCAGAGACACCTTCCATGAAATTAGAGTGACACGAGCACATACATGTGTTATGGGGTAGCTCGTTAATGGGCTTCACGTGCTCTGGGCGATGTTTTTTAAAAAAAGATAGTGAGCAGCAGCCTATAATTGAAAAATTTGATATTATTTCCATTTTTTTTACATAAAATGCTCTACGGAAGCTTGACTTACTTAGCTGTTTTTTATTTCTTTCTTCGGTGAATAATGCAAACGCTTCCCTAATAGAAAGGGTCGTGTGTCTAGTTGGAATCAAAATTTTTTCCCTACACACTGACTAAATTTTGTTTTTCAACTTCGTCCAAATTCGCAACAATGTGCGTCAATACCGCTGTTTTCTTGTGTGGCTTTTCTGAATGATTTCGCTAAGGCTGCAGCTTGGATTCTTCTCAATTTGGGTGTCTTTAGCTGATTGTTTTAATTTCTGTCGATATTTTTTGCTTCTTTCGCGGCCAGCAGCATGGCGCATAGAAATCGTCTTTCCCAATTCACTTATTGGCATTAGTTTTTCTTCCTCTTTTCTGTTAGCCCTCAATTTTTTCATTGCTTCGGCCTTTTTCTTTTTGTACTCGTCGTATTTGTTGCTTTCTTTTAGCTTTTCAACATAACGCTTGTCTCTTTGTGCACCAGGAATCGAAGTCTAGCAATTAAATACCAAATTATTAATCAAAAAAGTAAAATAAAAAATAATAAAAAACCGTCAGTAACGTCACGCAAACTTTTTTTGCCAAAATACCCTGCTATATGCAAATAATGCTTCATTTAAGCATTGATTATGAAAGTACCTCAAAAATACTAAAAAAAAAATCAGCTCATCCAACCTCTTTTCTAATTAGTTAATGCATAGAAAAACATTTTATAAAAATTTGTCAGTAACGTCACCATTTATTTGCGGCTGATTACTTTAAGCCCTAATGGGTCCAAAAGCCAAGCTTTGTACACAAATTTCCTTGCTAATCAATAGCTTGATTTATATTCTATCCAAAAAAAAGTCATAATCTGCCTAAAGTACAAAAAAATAACAACAAAATTTACCTTTTTCGCCGACATTGGTATATTTTCCAACTACGCCTTGCACGTGCCACTTATGAAAAGAATGTAAAATGTCAAAGCAGACACAAATTTTGCACTGGCATACAGTGCTGCCATATTCTATACATATTTGACAGAAAAAAAATCTATGTGGTTTCATTTTTCGTGGCCTTGCCGATATGTATGTAGTACTTGTGATGAAAATTAAATAATTCAAAGCTACAACAAAAAAAAAACATGAAAAAGTTAAATGAATACTTTCGTCGATTGTCGAACAATTTGACGGTATATTGGACACAAAATGCTTGTATTACCATTTAGATTAATACGCCTGCTTTGCTCTGCAAAGCAATCTGTGCAAAGTTTAAAATGATTGGCCGAGCTTCTCCTACGATTGGCGGTGTGCCTCAATGTCACACAAACCACTAGACCACGGCTGATTTATGTTATTCTGCCCTTTACTCATTTTTTTGTTTGTGAAATTTTCAGTCGTTTTTTCAGTTAAAACAACCCGTGCGTCATCCACATCACCACAGCATTTCTGCGGCAAACAAACAACCCCAACTCCTCATGCATATAGAGCATTTAAATTATGTAAGTATATAAACAAATAAATTTTCCGGCATAATGGCGAGGGGGAAGAAGCGAGCCGTTGGGGCTCAATCGCGGCGGTCCGCGTTGGCGCCATCGCGCGACGCCACGCTTCACTAAAAACGGCCTCGAGCTCATAAAAATTGTTGAATATAATTGTTATAAGGCCATAAAAATAACAAAAACAAATAACTTAAGGACGAGCACACCTAANAAAACCAACAACCACATGATCAAGTGAATTGCAGCGGAATAGCTGCGCTTGATTGTAGTTGGCTTAGCAAAGTGAAATAGTGGAAAATAAGCAACAAGAATTAACAAGACAAACTTAGCACAGGGCGTAGGCAACTGGCTGAGTCAGTGGTGATCATCGGTTCGAATCCTACTGAAAGAAGTCTGATGAGGAAATGTGGTGTTTTCCGAAATAGATATCACTTCTACCATTTTTTCAAATTATTGTTGCTTTTCCACAATAAGGTTTCACTAAAAACGGCCTCGAGCTCATAACAATTGTTGAACAATTACTTTATCAAAAGAATATAAAAAACTTTATGAATATGCATTGGTTTATAACAAGATAATTTAATTGTACCATTATGCTGAAATTTTTGTAGAAAATATTTATATGTGCAAAGAAACAAGTGTAAGGTTACCCACTATTTTTAAAAATGTCTTAAAGATAATTTTATTTGTTGGCATTGGATTGTATTTCTATTGCAGATTAGACCGTTCGTTATTTTAACTATTTTCTTAAATATACAGTTTGCCGGGCTCAAAAAGATGTCTTTTGGTCTAAAAATAAGCTGTGCAAAATTTTATTCGAATATGATAACTCTAAGTACTTGCGCGTTGCATTTGAAAATTTAGAAAACCACATGCATTCTGGGAAAAAAAATTTTAGCAAACTAGTTGAAAGTCGTGAATTTTATAGTCATTTGCCATGTAAAATAACCTACACAATCTGAATATGAGGTCAAAAATTAAAAAAGTAGAATAGATTTTA